TGATTTAATGTATCATGTTTATAGTAGGCACACTGGTAGGTCTATGTTCCAGATACCATATTGACCTGCGACATAGAATACAAACACCGTTTGACCTTGTAAAATAACTAATATAATGATTAGACACGGAAAATTCTATGGAGGCTATGACTAGACAATGATACTAGCTAAAATGCTATAAATGGTACAATAATTTTTCGAAAATATTTGAAGCTTGTCAATATAATAAAAATGGTAGTATAGAACGTCACAGTTATTTGAGCTTGTTTACGTGTAATTTGATTAGGCCTTTTTATTAATTTATCTGACGCAGAGTGTCATTCAAACAGCAATAACTTGTCTATACCATGGTACTTTTATTATTGTTGTGTTTGTGTGAGTATGGCATGCCTGAGCGTTGGTTAAAGCATACGTACAAGGTTTTGTAACCCGTGTGATGCGATAATAAACGTCATCGACGCTTCACGTTCGTCTTCAGAACTTTATACATCGTTGGAAGTTATTTATTAATGGTTGTCAGGACGAGCAATATACGAACTTTGGGAATGAAATCGAATATACCAACTCAGGCCTTTATTTGAAAGGATTTACTTTTACTAAAGCTTTAAATATATGGTTTATAAAATCTTAAATTCCATTACTGAGAGTTAATGAGTTTCTTCTCATTTTCAAAATAAGTATTTCATTACATATCAGTCAATAATTTGTTGATGAAAAGACCAGTAAAAATACAGGAAATAGAAGTACTACATATACAATCGTTTGTGTTTAAGTAAAATATCCTTCTCAAACACAATATGATAATACTTAATTACAACAAATTATGAAAAATAGTACCACATTTGTACTGGGTTGTTTGAAATTCAGATCGATGTAAAAAAAACCTACTTAATCCCTTTCATAAATTTAGATGATTCGGTCAGAAAACAGAGTTTACGAGAACTATGTAACTCACAAATCAACGGATTTCATAAACAAATACTTTAACATTTAGACACTTAATAAGATTGTTCGAAAAGTAATGAATTAAGATGTCAAATCATTTGAATAAACTTCGTTATCTCATTTTATATTCCAACTCAATATTTCCTAGTATATAAATATAAATTCCTTTATCCTATAGTAAACAATAAGTTTGATCTACCATTTAATAATTCAATAGAAGGTAGGCAAGTATAATATTTAATGATTCAAATCGCATTGTCCTAACAACTTTTCATTAATTATCTTATAAAATGATAACAATTTCATTACTCTCCTTTGTATACAACCATTCTTTCCACCAAACTTTAAGTTGATAAACAGCTTCTCGTCTGTGATAATTAAATTCTATTAAGGGGTTGTGAAGACTGTTAAGTTATATATTTTTTGAAACCATGAATCGATCAATGTTAGACCAGCATTAGAAACCTGGAAGCACTGGACGGCCGTTTCGTCCTGATATGGGACTCCTCAGCAGTGTACATTCACGACTCCTGCACCCCGCAGGATTCGAACCCAGGACCTCCGGTATTGTTCGTAACTTTACAATCTTCACAACCCCGTAATGCGAATTACCTGTGTGCACTATTGACTAGCTTGGTGAGGAATCTTCTCCGAGTTTTAGTGAGAAGACGTGACCAGTGAAGTTCAACCTGTTCGGGTGTAGACAGTAATTACCGAAGATTGTGTATGAGGTTGTGCAACTCCGTGAATTCATCAAGCTAGACATTAACACGGTTAGATACCTGCTCAGTGGTCCGATGGTTAGGCGTCCGCGCAGAATACCGAAGGTCCTGGGTTCGAATCCTGCGGGGTGCGGGAGTCGAGGATACGCACTGCTGATGAGTCCCATGCCAGGACGAAACGGCCGTCCAGTGCTTCCAGGTTTCTAATGGTGGTCTAACATTGATCGATTCATGGTTTCAAAAAATGTGTAAATTAAATTCTAACCTTTCTATAAATCAGCATATTCATAATTTAAAAAAACTTTTATTTTTTAACGATAAGGAGTATGGTCTTAGTTTACATTAGTTATTAAACACTCAATATTAACTAGTATAAAACTAGTCAAAGTGAAGAAAGATCGCTTTACATTATATGTACAACTCATTAACTTGAGTAATATGAATTTCATCATAACAAAACAAAAAAAAACTCATGACTATTGAACAATTAAATTTCAGTTATAATATATTTAGTTTTTCAGTTTGGTGATCAGTTGTAAATATTATCGTTATTGATAATTCACAAAGTAAGGCGTAATAAATAAACTTGATTAAAGTGCTCTAAGTTCATGGACTAATTATTATCTTACAAAAAACGTATTCAAATTTTTAATTCCTCTATAGCTACTTATTTTATTTCTTTCTAATTTTATCACATAATTAAGATTAGGCTTCTGTCAAAAGTATTTTAGCCGTTGTAACTGAAAACAATATTTCAAAATAAAACAGTAAAGCAGTTTCCCACTTTAATTTTCATAGTTTACAAGTATATTTCATGCTACACATTTTTGAAATCATGAATCGATCAATGTTAGACCAGCATTAGAAACCTAGAAGCACTGGACGGCCGTTTCGTCCTGGTATGGGATTCATCAGCAGTGCGCAGCCACGATTCTTGCACCCCGTCCAGTCCTTCCAGGTTTCTAATGGCGGTCTAACATTGATTGATTCATGATTTCAAAAATGTGTCACTTAAGAATCTTCACAACGCTGTAATGCATATTTCATGTTAATATGTTATGGTGAAGGTGAAGTTTTTGCGCTTTACATACCATAAAGATAATTAGATTATTCTCAATAGTAAACAAAATAAAAACGATTTAAATATTTGAATGATTTGAATTTGATATTGGTAATTGATAAACATTTCTGATTAATAGTGATCATTCAAAAATCATCATATCAATCATATCAAAAGAAAAAGCCGAAGAAATTTCTGATTGTTTACATGTGCACAGTTAGTTATTGAATCATCAATCAAAATAGGATTCTTTATCAAAATCAATTTGTATATGTAAACAAATTGTTATTAAGTCTTTTTAAAAATGATATAGATTTTTGATTCGCATTAAAATAATAAGTAATAAAACTTTCTTAATAAAATATTATAACAATAAATATGAGCGAACAATATTGTTTTCGATTAGATCGTCATCAGGCTTTACTCTACAAATATACATGAATATTGATATGAAAATATTAAACCAATCGATCGGGTGTACTACCAGGCAACTTAACCGACGAATGAGTGAACATCTGTAGTGGAACGCTTCTACGAAGAAAATACGATTTGTGAAGAATAAACATTATTGCACTTGTTTTGTTTAACTGTACCAAAAACGCTTCTTTCAATCCTTGCACGCAACGCTCTCTTCATGTTGCTGCCATTTTTCTCTATTTACTGTTCCCGATGTAATGCCTACTGTCTCCTTCAATAAAACCTTAGATCATGGATTTATTTTGATTTTATAACGGCGGGATATTATGGAACATTTAGTGGTGAGCATAGTCAATCTGGTATGTTGACTCGTTCACTACACATCCCTCAGCATGGTTTATCAAGGGTCAGTCAAAAACAATAGGCAGTTCTATCTTAGTACACCTGATTGATAGTGGTCATGTTGTAGATAAGCCTAGATCTTTTCGGGTGATCTGTCATATACCTGAATCATTTCCCAACGGAGTTCGATCCCGTCTCCTACATATTGCAGAAGCCATAGGAATTCGTACATTCAACCCCAATTTATGTGCTCAGAAGAAATTCGTGACACTCCTGTCTCTTTCGTGGCCGGATATGACGTAACTAACGATTTAAAATTGTTTGTTTTTTGGTTTAAAATTTTATTTTTCTATTATTAGCATTATTATCACATCCTGTATTTGTTGGTAATTCTCTGTCTCTTTCCGTTTATATTCTTCACTACCTAAAATCGTTCAAAATCGTTCGCAATGGCGCCAGTGCATTTATTCTTTGTGTTCTCTCAAATCCTAATCTTCTGTATTCTTTAACACCTCTAGTTTTTACTTTCTAAACTTATCTCATTTAATCATACTTCATGAATAATATCTTCTAATCCTAACCTCTCCGATTACTTCTAATACCTTTACTACCTCTTCTACTATTGGATTTGAATTGACAATTATATCTCTTTGTTGATGTGGTATGGCGACATGAACTGATGTACTTACGTACGAAGTTCTACGTTGCATCTGACTGACTGACTGACTGACTGACTGACCTAATTATGTGCATACTTCGTATTACATAATGGTTTTAATGTTTTGTAATGATTATTTTAAGTTTATTTATCCACGTTTGACCTACTATTGATAAAACTTTAGTTATCATATTTTATAATTTTCTTACTACTACTATTATTATTACACCTGTCTTCCTACAATCAGCTTGTGCTTTTGTCTGTTATGTGTAGTGACGGAATCTATTTCGTTTCATTGTGATTATTGACTCAATTTGCCTTGACTGGTTTAACATATATAAATATTCATGTATATTTGAGTAAAGTCTGATGATGATCTAATCGAAAACAATAATATTGTTCGCTTATATGTGTTGTTCTAATCTTCACAATGAGAATCTTTAATATTCTTAGATAAAATTTTAATATTAGAATGCATTTGCTTTACTCAGTGTTGATTCTCATCACTGGATGTTGACAATTCTACAGGGAACACCAAGATATAACCATCTTGTCACAAGTTTTACTGAATAGGTAGATTGTGACTAGTAGTGATAGTGCGTTTCGAAGTGAACTGTACTGAGATTAAGCCATAGTGTGAACGTGAACACTCGGATCTATGTACATCTGGAATAGAACGAAACGCGTTGACTGGACTTCACTGCTAGCAACAATCAACTTATTTATAGAAATTTTTTGTCAATAAAAGTTTATATTTTAACTGGATTATCACTTTTTACTCGTATCAATTATGAATTGTGTTATATATTATATATGCATGTTATTCATAATGATTATACTATCTTCAATCTCTTACCTATAGTTGTCATAACTGTTACCACAAAAAATACTGATTCATAAAAATTCCAACTGCTGTTATTTAATTCTTCTTCAGTTAAAACACTTCTAGCAATTGATTCTAACTGAGCATTCACTTCAGCATTTGTTTCTGAATAAAAATCTTTATGCCAATTGTCAGGAATTTTCAATGAATCATAACGACTGATATTTTTTATTGGAGTCATTGATATACCCATTTTTGTGGCTGATACAATGTAACTAACAAACATTTGAAGTTCTTCACCTTAGAAAAATAAAAAATAAATATATATATATAATGAAATACACAGTTGCAATGATGAAATTCATCTTAGTTAAGTAAGGTATTCATTTTATAAACATTAATACATTTATAATATGCTGCTCTTGTTCATGAGAAAAAAAAGAAAAATCATTCCTATATCGAAGCTTCCTATTGATCATTTGTACTTATTGATTTCTTTTTTGAAAAAAATCAATGTTTTTTGTGTAGTGACTATAACAATGGTGATTCAATATGCTGTTAGTCAACATTATTAGCTATTTCTAAATTAGACATTCGTTTTTTGAAGTAACAAAAAATTTCTGACGTTATGCACTTTCTGATAACTTCTGTCTGGATCTTAGAATTACGTGAACAATTATTCCATCAGTGTGTGAAGAATCACCACAGGAAAAATGAAGTTTGAAAAGCTACGTTTTCAGTGACAAGACTAAATTTTTAAGTCATTATTCTTTTACTTGATGATCATTATGTATTTGTGCAGAAAAGTCATGCAAAAACGATGTTGACGTGTAGAGGCCACATACTACTAATGGTAAACTATTAATGTGTGAATGTAAAAGTATGTGTTGGAAATATTCATAACAATACTACTGATGAGGAAAATATATTGAATTATCTGATCTGAAGTAGAAAGAAAACCATTACTAAAGTAAAATCGGAAACTAAATATGTCATACGGTAGCACATGACCATTGTGAGGAAATTAGCTCATATTGTCATAAAAGATCATTCATTGAAGGTGTTGACCAGTTAGTTAAATACGGTTGTGTAAAGTAGAGTATATATCTGCTACGATTGTTGTCTAAGATAGAAAAAACCCTTTATATAAGGGCCATGAAGTATGGATTCAAGTTCAACATACAATTTATCGCTGAGGTCGTGAGTGATATGATCAACCTTCAACATTAAAGAAATGCTTGAACACAGCCACATGTAATTAGCATAAATGATCGTGGCTCATTTTATTTAATTGTTATGAATAGCCAACTTTCACTAGAAATTTCTTAATCCATAGAATTGTGTATTCATGTGACCTTAATGATTCACTAAGTTTTGAAATATCAATAACAATCAAATCAAACGCAAAGACAAGAATACTGAATAACAAATATACATATTATATTAATTACTTGAGACGCATGGATTAGACCTCAAAAAATTGATTTGTGAAGCATGTAAACGCAGTCTTTCTAGTCTTTCTGTAGGTCGTTCTAACACGGTTAGACAAAGTGCACAAAGACAGCAGAATGAAACATATATTACAATAAATAGATACAACGGCAATTTCTGATAACATTCATTAGGTTTTGAGGTTGTTTCGCTATTGTTCGAAGAAAGTGTTGTGTTGTTGTCTTGTGTTTGCCATTCGTGTTCATGATGTTCTTGATTCTCAGTCATATTCAATGTAGAAATATTTTGACTGAAATTCTACTTTTTTTCTTCAACCAAGAAGTACCTAAACTGAAGAAAACAGATGTTTCGGTAATATGTCTGGTTTAAGAAAACCTAAATTACTGAAATTTGAATATATAGTTTCTGTTGAATATAAAACCATAATGTGACAAACTTAAACAAAGGTATTTACTAATAAGTAACATTTGCCTGTTGTTTTGTTGAGATGAAACGCACTCTTACAAAGTATAGAAAACAAATGACATTATTCAAGTAGAAAGATTCGCCAAAACTTTTACCAATATTTGTAATTAGTTGATGACATTTTTCAACAAAATATTCAACAAGTTTTCGAATAAACTGAAAATTTAAGTTTATAATTGTAGTTATTGGATTAATTTATAAACCTGATTTTTGCAACATATCTTTACTTGTTTGTCAGTTGGATTTGGTCACCAGGAAAAATCGTTAACCTCTCTTTCATGATAGTTGGAACGCGTCAACAAATCGTAACTTCATTAGCAAAGAAACTGATGGTACTTATAAGGTTCGAATACACATTGTCCAGCTTCACAGTCATTAACGACCTCCTGTAGTAGTGAGAGATTTACAGCCTATTGATCACTGAGTAGTGACAAATATAATGTTCTTCTATTCTTGTTTGGATGATTGAATTCTATCTGTAAATGTTATTATGTTGTGAAATCAAACTTTTCAGTCACTCGAATTGAGTTATTGTTGTAAACAAATGGATATTATTTAATTGCGTTGTAGGTGGTCAATGAAAAATGATCTGAAGTTAGTTCTGTAAATTTCAGATTCCGTGAGCCAATCGGAGTGGCCTAATGGGAAGACCATGTGAAAATATCCTCAAGCGCGAATATCTATCATTGGCCTAGAAATGATTTTGTATTCTTAGGGGGGAGAATAACTATCCATAGATACTTTCGCTTCTGCTGTTCCCTTCTCGATCAGTTCCTCAGTTTAGGGGTTAGCACGTGATTAGATCTAATACACCGCGCAATGTGACAAATATAAACAAGAACATATCTATTGAAAATTTATTCTGGATAAAACAAAGTGAATTATTGTTGGGAAAGTGGAAGGATGTGATAAATACTCCTAATTTTTATTTTTATGTTTTACATATATTATTTTTAATGCAGTCGCATCCGACTCAGAGAAAGTGACATGTCAGCTAATTATGTAGTGAATGACTAACTCTCAGTCCAGGATTAACAATAACTTTATATGATTTAAAAAATATGAATGTATATATCAGTTTTTGATGAATACATATTCACTGTTCTGTCAGAATTCATAAAAGGTACTAATTGTTTTAAATTATTTTTAAAGTTTGTATTTCACGTAAGTAAATAAGGGAAGGCTGATGAAACGTAGAAAATAAATGGTCATTCATTTGTGATCAGTATTTTTAGGTGCATCAAGATGAAACGAAGACTATTTGGTGCGAAATATAAAGCAAAGATTGTTGATCAAATGTAAAATAAAGTCGTAGGAAAGAATTTCTTCTGCAAACTAGTGTTTCTACGACCTAACAGGTATTTTGAGTCTATATATGAATTTGGCTGTATACACTAAATAACTTGTTTGATTATAATAACTTCTCAAAAGTCGATTGACCCTAAATTTCGTTCAGAAACACCTGGTCAAATTTCTTTACCTTTGTATACTGATGCATTTAATGAAGTCCAGAAACCGGGCATACAATAATTTGACATGCGCTGCAGCCGGTTACTTGCTAATTATGTCACGCAATATTTCCCGTCAGCATCACCTTCGTGTATAAAACACCACTTCAATCCGTCAGTCAAAGACGGAACAGTATCGTTTTGTTTCTCTTATGCGTTCACAGCCTTTGGAGTTCTCATTTTATTCTTCTTTCTGCACACCTTTCATTTAGTCGTAATTTGTACTAAAGATCAAAAACTAGTGATTATTTCACTACTGATTAAACTATGTGATTACTGTCACTACTTAAATACAATTAAAGAAAAACAAGGACACACCGCTAAACGCTAAAAAAGTGGTATTTTTCGATGTTACCGCGCAATCCACTTCAATCAAAACAGAACCCTCCAAAAATACTATATCACAATTACTAAGTAAAAACCAAAAACTCTTATAACACAGGAAAAATAATGATCAAGTTTGAAGGACTTTCAGATAGTCATTACACAATATATTTGTGTTAAAAGCCGAGTGTATGGACAGAAAAAATGAAGCTTGATGGGATTATTTTATTACTGTCTTTGAATGGCTTTAAATCCTGCTTCGGAAAATTCAGTTAGTCGGTCGGTTACAACGTAGAACTTCGTACGTGCGTACGTCAATTTAAGTTACCATACAACATTAGTACAGAGACGCAATTGTCAAATCAAATCCCATAGTAGTATAGATAGTAAAAGTATTATCGGTAATCGGATAGATTAGGGTTCGAAGACAATATTCAAGTGTAATCAAAGTGAAATAAACTTAAAAAATAATAAACGTAATGAGGAATTCAGAAGATTAGAATTTGAGAGAAGATAAAGAGTGGGTGCACCTGCGCCTTTGCAAACGATTTTGAGCCATGTCGTTCAAAGTTTCTAACCATCGGTTAATATCATCTCGTGGACCACAACCTGGTAGTTTACACCTACAGCATGACTCAATCCAGTTGTCAGTGAATTCATGGATTTTTACCATGTTTTGGTCTGCTCGCCCCTAGCTTTATTCGAACCTACTCCTACACCACAAAACATCGCTCGACGAGTCAGTAGGTGGTAGGGTATTCGTAACACATGCCCCATTCGCCTCAAGTGATGAAGTTTCTCGCACATCTACCGTCTTTCCTGGCAAATCTCTATATCATCTCCAACTACGTTCAGTACGTTTCTGTAAAAGTATGCAAACATTTTTATATAATTCATATTAACTGCAGTTGAAACTGTAAAGCGATTCTAACCAAATGATAACAGAAAACCAGGGTTCACTGGACACCTGTTTTGTACTGTTATTCTGTGTCCTGTGTTAAATAGTTATTCGGTTGAAGTCAGTTTATAATTTTGATTATGTCAGTCAGACAGTCAGTTGCAACGTAGAACTTTGTACGTATGTACATAAGTTCATGTTGCCATATCACATTAGCACAGAGACGCAAATGTCAAATCAAATCCCAAAGTGATAAAGATAGTACAGGTATTAATGGTAATGAAGAAGACTAGGGCTCGAAGATATTATTCAAGAAATATAATTCAGTGAGATAAGGTTAGAAAGACAAAGGTAGAGGTGCTGACGAAGCCAGAAGAATACGATTTGAGAGAGCACAACGAATGGATGCACTTGCGCCATTGCAAACAATTTTGAGCCATGTCGTTCAAGGTCTCTAATCATTGGTGACTATCGTCTCGCGAACTCCAACCAGGTAGCCTACATCTACCAACATGACTCAGTCCACTTGTCAGTGACTTCATGGATTTCTGCCATGTTTTGGTTTGGCCGCCCCTAACTTTCTTCCAACCTACTCCTACACCACAAAACATAGCTCGTCGAGGCAGTCGGTGGTCAGGCATTCGTAACATATGTCCCAACCACCCCAACTGATGAAGTTTCAGTACTTCATCTATTGATCTGTCATCCCTACCTAGTACTCATTTCCTAACGACAGCATTGCTTACTCGGTTGTCCCACGATATACGAGCAATGCTTCTTAAACATCTATGATCGAATACTAGTAACCTACGAACATCTTCTACTCTTGACGGCCATGTTTCACAGCCATGTAGGAGAACGGAGCGAACTGTTGCGCAGTACACCCGTCCTTTGGTTAGCGAACGGATATCACGCCTACGCCATAAGTGACGCAGGTTGGCAAAAGCCAATCGAGCCTTCTGTATCCGAGCTGAGATTTCGTCAGTCAACAGGCCATCAGCACTGATGAGACTCCCCAGATAAGTGAAGTGATCAACATGCTCGACTACTTCAATCCCTATCACTAGTTCAGGTGCCGATGCAACCCAGTCCTGAAGCAACATTTTGCATTTCGAGGGTGAGAACTGCATGCCGAACATGATCGCATTGTTGCTTATGTTAGTCACAAGACTGTGCATTTTGTCAGCGTCTTCACCGAATAGAACTATGTCATCGGTATATTCTAGATCAGTAAGCGACTTTCCTGAAATCTGACGAGCTTAATGTTAACACTAAGAGGATGTCTACAACAAAGTTAAACATGAATGGAGAGAGTGGACATCTCTGATGGACACCGCTTGATTTAGAGAATTCAGATGACAGTTCGCCATATGCTCTCACTCGACCAGTGGTGTTCGAGTAGAGAGCTTGTATAAGGTTAATGTGCTTTTTTGGTACACCCTTCAATGACAGACACTGCCACAGAACCTCACGATCCACTGAGTCAAATGCCGCTTTTAGGTCCAGGAAGACAACTATTGTAGGACGTCTAAATGTATGTCTGTGTTTCTTAGCTTGATTTCACATCGTCTGGACTGCAGTCAGTGGGGGCGTAGGCTGATATAACGAAGAGGCAACGACGAGTGTCCCTACCCTTTCGAATCCTTACTGTCCCGTTCAGTAGGACGGAGCACAAACGACTATCTACACGGATCCAGTCAAGGAGAGATCGTTCTGCCCTACAACTTAATACTATACCTACACCAGCGAGACCCCTGGAAGCAGACTCAGGGCTACCGGATACACGAAGAGTAAATCGGGCTGCTTCTTTGTTTTGATAAGGCGAAATCAGATTAATGATCTTACTAGGATCCTGTATGCGCGTTTCCAAGACGCAGCACACATCGATGGCGCGAGATTCTAAAGTCCTAGCTAACGAAGCCTGTTGTCCTATTTGACATAATGTACGTACATTAAATGCTCCAACATGTTGGCTAGAACAAGGTTTCAAGAGATCAGGAATGACGTTTCGCGAACTCGTGTCGTCTGCATTAGCGGTGCAGTCAGATAAGTGTAATGTGAGTAGAGTTAGTTGTGGAGAGGAGAGAGATATGTGTGGGTGTAGGAAGGATTTGATTTTGACCAGATTGGTCTCTTGTGCTGTTACGGGTATGAGGGCGGTCGTCATTTCCCGGCTGCCCACACCATGGAAGGTTTCTTGAGGGACCTGAAAAGGAAGATAGATTAGTGTTGGACTCGGAGACCCCGGAGCGTGACCGCAGAGTCCAAAGGACAACTGCTTGAGGCCGGTCACGCACGGCCTTTTGATGAAAGGTTTTTTGAGGATTAGCTCCGTTCTTAAAGGCCCTTAGTGGGCACCCTTACCCAAGGAGACGGAAATCCGTGAGGTAGGGGAGGTGTGACATTTTTAGGGTCGAACTTTTCTAACCCTTCCTTCCTTGTGAGAAGGCAGCATCGCTGCAGATGCTGGTTATCCGAGGGAAACACCTTACTGCTGTCACACCCCTCTGCAGTCAGCAGTACGACTTCGCCCTCAGACCTTGAGTAGCTGCTTTTAGTCTGATCGTTCTCCAATCGACCTGCCTGGCATGGTAGAACCTTCAGGAACATATGTTCCAGCCAATATAGCTCGGTTGGGTCATGACGATAGGCAAGCCCGACCACCACGTCAAAGTAGCAGCTTCGGTCGGGAATTTTGATTATGTGCTGATCAGTCACCAAAAAAACCTCCACAATACCAACTACTTTTGGGTAGAAACAGTGCAAAGAATCTTGAAAACCAGTGACTTTAAATTACACTACAAAAATCACTGTCCTTCCTTTGTTGAAATCTATACTTAAAAGGTATAATATCTTGAGGGGATTAGAAACATAGAATCTAATTTTACTGTTCACTAAGTATCTGAGGTTCGGACTTGAATAAGTATATCTTTTTAAGAAAAAGCACATCAATAAGACGGATTTGGAATTCTCCTCCCACTCAGTATATCCGAAGGTCTGGCAATCTGGACAATGTCGGATAGGCTTTTAAACCTCATTTACTACTAAATTAAATTATTGATATTTGCTATGATTCACTGTTCACTGAATTTCGACAGGAAGCATGTTATCTAATACAAATAAACGTCATATAAATATTCTAGAACTGATTTGTAAACAGTTAATTTAAATAAGATCAAAAATTAATATTTTGCATAAAATATGTATTTGGTTTAAATCATTGCTTTCAATATGTTTTATAAGCTATAAATACCCATTATATTTTCGAAAAAAAGCACTTCTTTTTTTGGACAGACATTCGAAAAATTATTGTTGTTTACTTTGAACTAATAAAATTTTATAGTCTGTTAAAGTTCAAAAACTGATCCCTAAATTTTTTGTTTTCATTTCATTTTCATGAAGACAGAGGGATTAGCAGCGTGATCCACTTTTATTAATCGTTCTGAAGCAACCACAGTGCAGAAACCAGAACTTTTATATTAATCATAAAATAGCTTAACATTTTCGCAAAACCATTTCATCATTAGAAATCATTAGTTGGACTATATTTATAAGCTAATCAGTAATATTCTAAACCTCATTGTTTAGTAAATGGATCTAGAAACTCTCACTTACCATCATAATTGAAATAATATTTAAGACTTGTAAACAGAAATAAGGCTCAGTTCATTTGTCACAACATGAAATCTAAGTGACAACATATAAAATATCTTTGCTTTATTGGAAAGTACCTTAAAAATTCTGTAGTTGAAAGAAACATGACAAAATAGCCATACTGTTTGCACAAAATGTATCAAAAGTCTTTATGAAAGCGATGAAACTTTACGTGGCCAAAATAAGCAAACGACAAGCCAACTTCACCCAGAATTGTGAATGAGGATTACTAAGGAAATTATAAAGAATGCTACACGTTCATCTCAGCCCTACCAAAGTGGTATATGATGGAAAACTTCAACTTTCAGTACTGAAAAAGAACTGGCGGGACTATTGCAGTTACTCATTGATTTCGCTTTAGCATAAAAGCAAATTCACATCTCTAGATTTCAGTCACTTGATTTTTTGTAAGTTTACATCTTCACAATTTTAAGAAATTTCGTATTGCAAACTACTTAACTGGTTGGTTTCATTTAAAGCAGTAAAAAGGTCAAACTGTTCAGAACAAAACTAACACTAAAATAAATTGTTTAGGTGGTCAAAAGTGTCTCCAGTTTTTCAAACTGCACTAATGGATAGATATAGTAATATTATTTACAATCATAGTGACAATTCAAACTCATACTTGGAGTCATTTTACTGAACTCTAACCTTGACGGTCCTTTGAAAGATTCTATGACGGCTATAAAAAACCCCTCCTCCACAAGATCTTGCTGATAGTAGGCAAACAGTTTGGAAAATTAGTTTTATATAACCGATAAGGCACATCGAAAATTCATAAACTGTAATAATGTGGCCTTATGAAAAACCGGGTCGAAGTCAAAACAACGTGTTCAGTAGTAGCTAGCTTCTTTTTCCTCTCTTATTTTGTTGTCACATTTTCAACAGTGTTGTTACAATCAACTGCTACCATTCTTTGCACATAATCTTTCTGTTGGTATCATGTAAGTTAACAAGCTGTGGGCCAGATTGTCTAGTGTTTTGAACAACTAGCCATAATTAACCAAAACAGTTTTACTGTATTGACTGCTCAACTAAATATTTTTACTAACTTTTATCAACAAGGCTTGCAGTTTGATCTGGTGATCCATATTATGTAAGATTACTGAAATACTTGATAACAAGGTTCAACAAGATCACTTAAAAATTAGCTTCTTTTTAAAAATATCGTCATCAAAAAAATAACATCAAACTAGTACCCGCTTAAAAACAAAGATTATTTACGATATTTCACTGCAAATTATCCCTTGGAATCCCACCTCATTTAAGTAACTCAGTCTTGTTATCAAAATCATGGGCATGAAACATATATAGAACTTCTAAATTTTAAGTAAGATAGCTGATGAAGACAGTTTTCATAGAACCAGTCAGTTAGAAGTAACTTGGATTTGTTTTTAAAATCTTTTTATGAAAAATTTTGTATCGGCAATCAGGGCTTTGTTGAAATAATAACTGATGAAACTTTTGTCGAGCCAATGGAGTTTATACGGATACTTTATTCCATTTGGTTTGTGAATAACATGACTGAGTATTTTCGACCTTGAAAGGATATAGCTGTGAAGGCTTTTTGATGGACTGCATATAAATTACACAAACAAACTTCCGAAAACTGATGTACTCTTTACATATAATCGTAAATTAAATAAAATTTACTGAAATTGTTTGTTTCGCGCCTATATAATATTCCGTTTACTTATTGTCTGTTCACCGTAACACATTTGACGCAATCGATAATACATATAAATAAGAACATACTTCAAAAATTAATAGTGCAAGTGATTACAGATTCCAGTTAGGTTACTTCAGTATGTTAAACATTTGTATTACATTTGATGGCACAATACAACTTAAGCAATCGCTTATTTACCATTTCAAACCGTATTTTCATCTGAGAAAATTTTCCTCGACTAATAAAATCCTCAAGATAGGATAAACCAATGATTTTGTCTGATCATATAGTGTGTCGAGTTACCTTTACTTTTACTGAAAAATGTACTGCTGGGATCAGATTATTTATTGAATGACCTCACCTTAATTCGGCTAGATATGTGATTGCTTATTGGATGCTAAGTTGTGAAAAAGGTTACATTAAGAAACTTACTAATAGAAATTCTAAATAAGATATGCTGCTCAGAATCTCCGAAATTGTGGCAAGAAAAAATCTTCGAGAGTGGATTTTGTGTGTTTAGAAAACTAGTCCCTTCGGAACGAAACGCTCGCGCAACGGATTTACAGTGGATTATCGAGTTCTGCTAGTTTCCACAATTTTTACTATAATAAAAAGACCATTTTGCCACTTTCTGTGCACCAATCGCCGGTCTTCTCACCTCAAAATGATCAAAAAATAACCGGGCCACTCCGGACAGCTTTATTTGACAGAGACTGATATAAATACATGCCAAAAAAACAAAGTCCTAATTTAACCCTTTTTCTACGGTGTAACCAAACATAAATAGCTAGACTTATCAAGAAATGTCGGGTGTTTAAAGTGTCCAAAGTGCGACTCGAATATTTAATATCTGCATATCAGGCAAGTATAAAAATTGATTTATGTGAACTTGCTTATTTTTCGGTATGAGTCAAGGTATCTTGTGGGTGCATTCCTCCTTCTTCTTTATAATTCCATAACCCGAAGCTACTTTGAAAATCCAAGGCAAACTGAAGTAATAAATTATTAAACGTAAGAGCCATGAAAATACATGGAAATGAAAAACCATAGTTAAAGTTTAAATTAAAAAGATATCATCAGCCTAAGCATTATTGATATTCAAAACACTCATATTTTACAAATATTTTAAAATATAAAATCAAAATGGTTACAGACCGATTTTTTTGAGGCCAAGGTGTTCCTCACATGCCAGTGCGAAAAGTTGCTAAGTAGTCATAAACGTGCCAGAACAAAGGCTTTATAAGACAATTTAAAACAAACGTTTAGAAATCAATATGTAAACAACGAATGAAAAATCATGGCTTTGATTACGAAAGTTTTTAATGGCCAGGTCTATTTCAATAATTTTTCACGAAATATGGAATAACATTATTTTCTACTGGACAAGTGCGAGATTTAATAAATGGAAGTTAATTATACGTCACGGATACTTCGAGTTCGACTACGATTCTTTCTGCACCACTTTTCTGATTGAGAATATCCTAAAACAAGCCAAGTCAGAAATCAAGAATGAGGAGAAAATGAGGTGTCACAGAATGTCAACGAGTGAGATAATTAAGCTTGTTATTTTATGCAAGGCAATGCAACGTACAATGTACCTAAAGGTGATCTGACGGGGATACGTAAGCAAACGCCTTAAGTTAGGATATGGAGGAAAAACTGACGAGGTCAGCTTTGATGTCGAAGACTTATGGAGCTATTTATTTTGGGGATTTAAGTGACTCTAAATGTGATTTTTTGTGTTGGGAATTTCAGAGTTCAGTTACGTTTATCACACGAAAAGTAGGATTCGCATTCACGTCAACTGAATATAGCTCTATTTGGGTCTGTGAGATACTGGTAAACATGTATTTTACTAAAGCTTTCTCCAGCTGATGTTTTTACTGGTGTATGAAATCATATATACCGTGTCCATACACATTATGTTCAGTTAGGTCTGCTAATCATTTACGTTTTTTAGCTGTAACCAAAGTTATAGTTTCAGTACAATTTGGTAGTTACTTCGGTGACGTCATAAGTTTCGACGTTTCGTGGTTAGTTGTTTAAAATTTTCCAGTCTTATTCCCATCGTTCTGGATAGAATAGTCATTCCGTGATTGATGCGCTATTCTCTGCTGAAGATCGTATACAGTGTGACAAATGTGGGAGACGACTTGACTAAATGCATGCCAACCAATCACCGGTTGTTTTAAAATTTGATGTGAATAAGTGTCATCTCGTTTAAGTATACAGTGCTGCCTAACCAAAGTGGTTCTACTGGACGGAGCCTTGGAGTTCACTGTCACGTCCAGTTTCTCACTAGATTCCTGGCAGTCGGTATCCGATATGTCCTTAGACCTTGTATGCTGCCCATCCGGAAAACCGTTACTAAATAGTGCCTCTAGGTTTATAAATCAGAAGATGAAAACGAAGTTTTGATTACGTTTATTTGGCACACCATAATCAGACCACCGAACAAAAGGCACACAGAACAAAAATCAATACGCGAGTGCCGAATGGCAAACAAGCGAAAAAGCGTATGAACTAATGAAATAAAAATATGCTTATATATACATAGGAAAATGGATGAGCCATTGAAATATTGGAGTTTAACATCACAGCGAATATGATGAATATGCGCGTAGGCGGTAAGCAATGATCAGTCTTGCCAGTTCATACGAATCTTGCAACGCTAAAAGCCGATGGTACATGTAAGGGGTTGCTACATAAATGACTCGGTTAAATTAGTTAATCAAAAGATATTAAAGAAAATAAATATGAACAAACTCAAATGCATGTGGAGGTACTAAAACTACCTCCATGTTGAGAAAGTTGCTGAGTGACGGTATATTCCCAGTAGGTCTAACTTTAGATGACGTGGAACTGAAAGTTGCTGCCACTAGCACTGGTTGCTCCGTATTTGTCCCTGATAAGATTGCTGGACTACAATTATTAACACACTTAAAAGAGAGACACTCTGACGTTGTTACGCAGTCAGGACTGGGATACCGTCACTTTTCGAAAGTGAATTTACTCCAAACACTGCTGACATCCTTAACTGGGATATGATGTACAGAGATCCATACTCCTACAGGGAAATTGAGATATTATAAATGAATGGATCTATAGGAAAGCCAAATTCGAAAACTCAGCTACAGAAAACCTTTTAGTAGTAAGTCCGAAAGAAACAACACAACTAAAAATCGTAAACACGGCTATAAAAGAAGTCAAATCTGTTTTTAGTCTAATTACTGAAATTTGGAGGAGTGAACGCTGGACGGTGAACACACGATCTGGGTTTAGGGGAATAGTCCTTTAGAAGTTTACTATCACAATGGGTACCAGTAGTATATGTTACCAATGAGATGATGCTTACGAAATGGGCTGGAAACAAGACCTAACCGAATAGGATTTTCAGTGTAGTACACGGATGTAGGGAGGAATGTGAAGCTATACTAAATAGGACACAAAATTTGTGATTCGAATATTTGCATCCGACACTATTAGGATCAAATTAAGTGCTTCAAATTAAGTGTTCTATATATATTTTCAGTGGTATATCACGGTTATGCTTCTTAAAGGAAGAAAAGGGACAGTGGAGAAATGTATTACAGAAAATACCCGTGATTGAATTCAGTCACGACCCAAAAGATGCACTTCTGTTCACAAAATTAAGGTGATACCGCGCAAAATGTTCTTTGTCTTTAGACCACTTGTTTCAAAATTGCATTTATGTGCATTTATGAGGTTATCAGGCTTGCGATCTCCCGACTGAGCTAATCCGGCTATATTATATATTATAGGTTTATTTCATCACACATTCGATCATTCGTCCAGTTGGAGTCAAGTCTCGAGCCAATAAAATGATAAGCTGGACGTGATTATCACCATAGAAGTCGTCTAGAATAGTTGCTCAAACCTTTATTAAATGAAATATGCTGATTCTGTGTTGTATACGTTATTTTCTCACCGAAGTTGGTTCATGTACGATGTGAAACAACAGTGCAATTGCTAATCACTGATAATAACAAGGTATGCTGATAGTTTTACTAAATGTTTAAAGGTGAAACTTGACATTTGATGATCTACATCCGCTTTTAATAGTCATTTTTATCATACCATATCAAAACGTTCCTACTTAAATTCCCATACTAATATCAAGACTTACTTTAGACGTTGTGATATAACTTTACACATCGTCACCCGAGCGACCTTAAAACTATTGTTTCCCCTGAATGATCAATATTCCGTCTACTTTTACGATGACGGTTAGTTCTCTGGTGCATTAGACACTTCCTTTTTCCTTAAATCTCAATTTTTAATTATATAATTACAAAGATATCATTCTAACGTTTCCAAAGTTTTTCACTGATAATACAAAACAGTTTTACTTTTATCGAAATTAGTTAGCTAGATAATAATAGAATGAACTCCTATACCATTTTATTGATTTCTCCTAAAATATTCATAACCGTTTACTTTTATATTCTCAACAAAGTACGCGTCAGTCAGTTTTTGTCTTTTCTGTTCTTGTCTCCGAAGTGAATTTAATATTCCTTCAAATATCGTAGAACCCTTTTAAGTATTAGAAATGCAATGATTAATAAATTCTCGTGTATAATTAAGTTTCTGATGAACCTGGAAGTGATTTCTCCACTTAACTGGTGTATGATTAATGCGTTCGTCAATAATCATGTTATTCTAGCTTTAAGCATGAATTAGTTGAGATTTTTAAAAGTTGGGATTTCAAAGTCTTATGTTTTTCCACTCTAAAAATACTGTTAGCTCTATCTTGGAGTTAAATAGGGATCTTAGGGCGCTCCTTATGAGCTAAGCATTTGGTTAACATGACGTTTACGATTACTTGAGTCGACAAGTAGGTTATGGTTTTGTAGAATGCCTATTTTAGTGAACAGCATTGACACATAGGCCATCCAGTGAGTGGGTTTGTGAAGGTGAACTAAGATTTCACCGTAGCTGGCGATTGGTTTTTGATTTGCAACACGTGGATTGACAACTGGCTCTTTTGTACAATCGTTTGCATTTGCTGGAAGAATTCTAATTAGCGCACCTGTTTCACAGAGATAGTAAACTTTCATAATCACATCAGCAAAGTATTTTATAGACTATGTCCACCTACTGAAGTACTTGTTACCGCGTTCTTGCTCATGAATCTTCATCGTGTTCTGACATAATAAGAACAAAATATATGTGGATTTGAGCGGGAACACATTCTTAAATAGGAACAATATCACGATATGTAAAAATACATGAATATATGTTTCGTGGGGACAGGAGGCGGATAGTATTTTGTTGAGTTCACCGGGTCACGTCGAGAACATAAATGAAGTTGTCATGGATATTCAGAGTTTAGCAATGCACTTATCCATAACGTAGTTCTGATAGTCAGTCAAACCTGATATCAGGAATCAGAAGTATTGAAAGTATATTTC